AAGTGTTTCTTTGCATAACATCTATGTGGAAATTTAAATATGATCATGGCAATGTAACAGATTTATTAAATGGACTATCTTTTGTTGGAGCAATACTTTTGCTCTGCATTGGATTTATTAAGGGAAGTGAATGTGATGAGACATGTTATAAGCCTTTACAAGATGGAATTACTCCATTTGCAAATGCTGGATTTCTTGGGAATTTGTCATTTTGGTGGTTGAATCCACTAATGAAGAAAGGTAAGAATAAGATTCTTGAGGACGAAGACGTTCCTCATCTAAGATCAGCCGATGGAGCAGGAACATGTTTTGATCAGTTCAATGAGAAAGTGGATATGCTTAAAAGAAAAGACCCTTTAGGAAAACCTTCTATATTAATGGCAATACTCCTCTGCCACAAAAAATCTATCCTGATATCGGGGGTGTTTGCTCTAATTAAGGTCTTAACGCTGACAACAGGACCGTTGTTTCTTCATACGTTCATCGAGGTTGCTGAAGGAAGAGAATCCTTTAAGTATGAAGGATTTGCTCTAACAGCTGGCTTTTTCCTTGCCAAATGCTTGGAATCTTTAGCGGAGAGGCAATGGCTCTTCAGAAGTAGACTGATTGGACTACAAGTAAAATCTTCACTCACTGCAGCTATATTTCACAAACAACTCCATGTCTTAAATGCTGCAAAGAAAACTCATTCCCCTGGCCAGGTAATGAACTATGTCACTGTGGATGCTCATAAAATAGGTGAATTCCCCTTTTGGTTTCATCAGATATGGACGACATTTCTTCAGCTCGTCCTAGTGTTATGTGTAATGTACTATTCTATAGGGGTAGCTGCATCAGCAGCATTAGTGATTGTAATAGTAACTGTAGTAGCGAATTCCCCGTTATCCAAGTTGCAGCTTAAGTATCAGACTAACCTCATGATAGCACAAGATAAAAGGCTAAAGGCAATCACGGAAGCACTCGCGCATATGAAGGTTCTCAAGCTATATTCTTGGGAGAAACATTTCATGGACGCGATAAGCAAGTTGAGATCAGAAGAAACCAAGTGGCTTTCATTTGTACAAACACAAAAAGGATACTACCTCGTCCTGTTTTGGTCATCTCCTATTCTGGTCTCATCTGCAACTTTTGTAGCTTGTTACTTGTTTGGAGTTCCTCTTCATGTCACCAATGTTTTCACATTTCTAGCCTCTATAAACCTTGTTCAGCAGCCTATTAGAAATCTCCCTGATGTTGTTGGGGCATTTATTGAAGCAAAGGTTTCGCTGTCGAGGATTGTGAAATTTCTTGAGGAACCTGACATGCATACAAGGGATATGAAGAAGAAAAGGCAAGATGATGTGAACATTTGTATAAACTGCACTGATGTTTCTTGGGAGATGAATACTTTAAAGCCTACGTTAAACGACATAAATCTCGATATTAAAAATGGTGAAAAACTAGCTGTATGCGGTGAAGTTGGCTCAGGGAAATCTACCCTCTTGTCTCTGATTCTTGGAGAAGTTCCATACATCAATGGCACAGTAAGTCTTTGTTGTATTGGTAGAGAATACTTACTGTATCGGCGTAATCAGAATAGGTTACTGTTTCTTCTTTTTGTTTTTTGCAGGTTGATGTTTATGGAAAGATAGCTTATGTTTCACAGACAGCATGGATTCAGACAGGGACCATACAAGAAAACATCCTATTTGGATCAAATATGGAACCAAAAAGATATCGGCAAGCTATAGAAAGGAGTTCACTGGTGAAAGACTTGGAGATGCTTCCATTTGGTGATCTTACTGAGATAGGAGAAAGAGGTAACAATTTGAGTGGAGGGCAAAAGCAAAGGGTTCAACTTGCTCGTGCCCTCTATCAGGATGCACATATTTACCTCTTGGATGATCCATTTAGTGCTGTAGACGCACATACCTCGACCAATCTGTTTAATGTACTTTATATCAAGTTTTCTCCATTTGTCTTCATTGAAAAGTATATTCAGTATTGAAAATTATCCTCAACATCCCGCGTTTTGATTTGGCAGGATTACGTCATGGGTGCTCTATCAGGAAAAACTGTGCTGCTGGTAACACACCAAGTTGAATTTCTTCCAGCATTTGATTCTATTTTGGTTAGTAACCTCCATGAAGAACTCTGTTAATTTTAGTTTTATGAAAAAGG